ATGAATCATCTTTTATCAATCAATCATTCAATCAATCAATCTATCTATCAATCAGTTAATCTAGCAATCAATCATTCGATCAATCAATCATTCAACCAATCAATCACTCATTTATTCATTCAATCAATCAACCAACCAACTAATCCATATATCAATCCATACATCCAACCAATCATGAATTCCTTACCTCGTCCAGATACTTGGGCAGGAGTGTCTTGATAAGATCAGCTGTTGCCGATGCAACCTCAGAGGGCTTGATGACAGCACAGTTACCTGCTGCAATAGCACCAACAAGTGGAAGTAGAGTCACTTGAATGGGGTAATTCCATGCACCTATTATGAGGGCCACGCCCAGGGGTTCACTTCTAATCATACAGGTATCCATTTTGTTGAGAAGACCTTTTTCTGTGTATTCTGGTTTCATCCAATCCTCAAGGTTGTTAAGAGCTAAAAAGCCAAGGTTTAAGTCAAACACTTGTCATCAAACAAAGTATTTGGAATAGGCTTTATATACCTTTTATGTTCTAATAATCATTGAAGTAAAAAAAGCATTGTTATTAAATTTAATTCATGTTGATCAGTGTTGGTGTTTCAGAAGTTGTTTACAAAATTGGTGTCTATGTTGTATGGGAATTACAATCTCTCTCCTGCCACTCAATACGATACGACCACTAGTCACTCATACACACTTTGCATTTTGCCACTGGACTGAAGAAAATCGCAGTTGCGATCGAAAAGTTTTCATTAAAATTGCTTTTTTTTCAAGCTAGAGACAACTCAATTTCTTTATCATGCAACATCCTAGCTGCAACTTCAAAATAAGACCGCTCATGTTGAGAACTACATGTATGTACATAAAAAGGAGCATAATTGATCACAATTGGAGACCAAGAAAAAACTGCATGCTTCTGGCTTTATGTACTGACCTGTTACAGCATCATTTTTAACCATAAATACCTCTCCAATAAGGCCCTCGAAGCGTGGCTGTAGAATTCAAAATATCAATTTCAGCTTAAACCACAATGTCAAATGTTATACAGTCAATCCAAACAACGGTGATCGTAACAATACTAATGTCTTTCTGATTTTATTCCTTCATTTTACCTTGTGAAGATCTTTGTGCAGAGCCTCAAGGATAGCATCTTCATGATTTTCAAAGAATGCTACAAGACTTTGCAGTTGTTGTTTACGGAATTCATATTCTCTTGACCGTCCAGTCCTGAATATTTCCCTTGCTGTTTTTACAACCATCTGTCATTTCATATAAATTATGAGTTAAATYATTGTATATTTTAKACATTATTTTCATGTTAGTAATAGTAATTTTGTTTTATATCGTTTTGTTATTAAATTGCTATTTGTATTTCTAATTTTTGATCTGCATACAAACTGTAAATTA